CCTCAGGGCTGTGTCTTGAGTGTCACACTTTTTAATGTTAAAATTAATGCCATCACTACAAATCTTCATCCGAATGGGCTCTGTGTCGACGACTTCCACATCTCGTGTCAGTCCTCGAACATGAGGTTTATTGGGCGGCAGCTTCAGACTGCCCTCAATCCGTTGTTGACATGGACCACAGCAAACGGTTTTAAATTTTCTTTTTACAAAAGCGTTTGCATGCATGTTTGCCGCCAACGGGGTCTCCATCCCGAGCTCCGTATCGGCGATATAGTTATTCGTGTGGTCCCTGAGGCAAAGTTCTTGGGGCTTAGCTTCATTCCCACTAATGTGTAGCCATTGTAAAACTCAAGTCACAATAGCCCACATTTTACTGTCGTGCCGTCGTTACGACCGTGAGCGGTGTCACCATTTTAGACACATGTTTTCTAAGAGTTTACCCCTAACGTTGGATAGTGTCATTGGTGATTGTGACACTGTCGGATTAGACTGTATTTTTAATTTTTTACACACTATAGGTCTTTTTAATTGTATATAAATCTTTTATCAACATATTTGTGTTTTAATTCACTGTATTTTTACATTTTACTCCAATTTACTTTCACTGTTTTTACCGGTTGTTTGGCGCAGATAACCTCTTTGCTTTGCGCCATAAAACACCAAACAACCAACCAACAAGTTTGAAATGAATGCACTATCTACTTTTTATTTTTGAAATCTGAGTCGTATTTCCAGGATCCAAAATATAAGCAGCTGAGCAAAAATAGTGTAAGTTAGAAGAAATCACAATGTATCTTTCTGCATGTGATGGTAGTTGTGTGTATATATATATATATATATATATAACAGAGTAAGAGCTATCTAATTTTGAGCTAGTAACTAGCGGGAGAGTTGTTAGTTAGCAGTACCCACCGTCATCAGAAGGGTCTAGAATAGATTAACTGTCCTTATTATAACCTACCACTAACTGAAAGTGTATGGCGTGTTGAGCGGTGTGAACCTTGAAACTTCAGTAATGCAGCCCAATACGCTAACCACTGAGACACGCGCAGGGAAACATATGAAACAAAATAAACAGTTCAAATCTATGATCTAGTAATTCGCATCGCTTATTCATTTTATTTGGTTGTATATATACTTAACGATCTAGCAAATTCTGCTTTTGTAGTGTATACACCCCCCATGATTCCCGTTCAAGTGGCGCGACAGTAAGTCTGAAGGTGTATAATGCCAAAAATAACAAGCATAACACAAACAAACTTTCCTGTACCAAACCTGCAATTTTTCTAATGACGATCCTGTTTTATTTCATCTCGAGATAACTTTAATCAACCAAAATATTTATGCCAACATAGTTTGCTATCCACAAATTAATAAGTGAAAAGACAAGATTAGAAAAAGAAAAACCTGAAAAATAATAAAATATAGATTATACGACTAGAACTTGGCGGAGCATAGATAATGGAGTGAAATAGTGAGATAAAAGTAGAACTTGGCAGAAAAGTGATAAAAGACGAAAACAAAAAATAAAGAAAAAACACTGTATAGGGAAACGACAGACGTGAATGGTAACCTAACGGAAAGTGCAGAACATTGGGAACTTTCAGAACGTACAGTCGATGTTGGAAGATAAACGTAAGATTGACTGTAGAAAATAAATATGAAGCTAGAAGACATTTTTAAGGTTGGTCGAGTGTTCCCAAAAAGTATAGACGAAATTGGAAGAAAAGAAAAAACTGATAATGTGCCGGAAGACAAAAATATCTCAGAAGAGAAAATTGAGTTTGAAGAAATTGTGACAGAAGTAGGAAAATATGGACTATTTCAGAAACGACTTCTGTATTATTTTCTTTTACCTGCTTTTATACCTATGAGTTGGGTTACTTTTAACCAGATCTTTATCATGTCAGTCCCTGACCATTGGTGTTACGTTCCTGAAGTGGCCGAAGCCAACCTCAGTGTCCAACAAAAACTGATGTTAACTCGGCCAATGGAAAATCGACACGGGTTAGAAATACCCAGTCAGTGTCAAATGTACACCCTGAATTACACCCTGGAATGGATGGAAAGTTCAAACTCCAATACTTCTTTCAAAGATTATGGTTCAGCCACAAACGTCTCTTCTCAAGCATGTCAGAACGGTTGGGTTTACGATAAAACACTCTATGACTCCACGGCTTCAACTCACGTGAGTGTTGATTAATCGAGATTCTTTATATCTCTTTGTTCATCTACTGTATTTATTTAACATTTGATAGTTAGGTAAAGTTCAAAGGTTAATTTGTCTGAAATCGTTCTATTTTTTACTGAAAACAAAGTCAGTGTAAAATAGGAAAGAACAAAAATTCATGAATGTTAAATAAATAAAGTTCAAAGGTTAATTTGTCTGAAAGCGTTCTATATGAACAGATATCTTAACGAAAAGAATATGGGTGGAAAAGAAATAAAGACAAATACTTAAAAAAAGAAAACTTGAACATACAACTGTTCTGTCAATAAAAATATTTTGTTTTGTAATTTACCACTATATATTTTTACTGATTTTTGTAAAATATTGTAATTAGATACATTAAGAAACTTGTAAATGTATCTAGTGAGACGTGAATATTTATATTGTATGTTATTGGAAATAAGGTAAGAAAATAGAGATATAAAAGGCGAATAGAATACTACAGGGCCGCCATCTTGTTTATTGTGTGGAAATGATGGTAACTTACACTGTTAATGGTTGTTATCCAAGCAATCACAAAGTGATGTAGTATGAATCCATTCAGTGCATCCAGAAATGAAATAGTGCGTGATAAACGAGTTGATCAAAGTTTTGTTGATCAATCATACACATTTGGAAAACCAGTGGCAGGACTACATGTCTCGGCAAGACCTGTACGTAAGACTCCGAAGAGGATTTGAGAAGCTGGTACCGTTAATAATGGAAGAGATAGATAGAAATCTTGTATATGTTATGAACATTACATCGGGAAGAACAAGATATACGTTACCACGAAGTTGTTTAAATGGGCATGAAACCCGCTGATTAGAAGAGGCAAACAATCTTAGGCTGGGGACCACAAAGGCGTAATAAGCAGACTGAAAATATATACTGTTTAATGATGGATCCGATTTGGAATTGTTTGGTAACAAACAAAGACAATATGTCCGATGACAGAGAGGAAGACAGTGCTGTAATGAATGTACACTATCTACAGAGAAGCAAGGTAAGAATCAGTACAAATCTGGATCTGCATTTAATCCAATGGTATCGGATCTACGTAAAACTAAGGTAATCCTGATTTCTGAGAAGAATAGAGAGATTCTTATCCATCATGATTTTATCTCGGGAACAGGACTCATCGAGTGTGGATTAATTTTACAGCAAGAAAATGATCCCAAGCTCACAGCAAAATCTACTGGAAGGATATAATATCAGTAAAGAAGACGAAGGAACACAGCTTCGACTGCACAAAGTCTCAGTATGAATATTCTTGAACTTCCAAGGAGCCTTGAGAAAACCGTGGTTAAAAGGGGACCAAAAAAAGCCGGTTGAATTGTTAAGAGATGTTTGGAACTATATTCCACAAACTTTAGGCAGGAAGAAAACAAGGTATTGTTCTTTGTGTAAAGCCAAAGTCTCACATACAAAATACTGTGATATTTTCATATTGCCTCCAAGAGTATTAAGTTGGCTATCTTTAATGGGAGACTTGTGAAGGATAAGTTCAGAGTAAACCTAAATTTCACCAAATAACTGAATTTAAGTTGAGAGGATAAACAGATTGGACAGGGGTTGTAAAGTGTAAAACAATTTTTATTTATGTCTAAAGACACAAACATAGTGGGGTGGGGGTTAAGAGTAGGTTTACAGAGTCTTTGACTTGAACCCAAAGCTGGCATAGGATTTTACGTTCCTGGGCACCCCTGGGAGTCCTGGGTGCGCCATGTTTAACACCATGTTCATACTTCCATTTACAAGCTAGCAGGACCAAACGTTGCGCACATGCTCAAAGTTGTCATAAGTTAGTTTGTTTTCGGGTACGAATATCCCCCCCCCCATTCTAGGGGTACCTATAGCAATAATTGAATGTAATGGATGTGTTTGATCTGTACAATGTCGTATTTGTAGATCATGAACGTACTTCTGAACTCTGTAGCAGAGCGAGTGTATTTTGTGCTAGTTAGGTTTAAGGAGTGAAATAATTAAGAAACTGTTATAAAAATTCAGTTAGAAATAGATTAACTTAAGTTTCTTTTAGATTGTTTAATTTATAAGTTGTTAGGTTTAACTAAACTTTTATTATTTAGTCAAATCAACCTAGAACGTATACATGCTGCCATCTTTTGGCGGTTTCTGTCGACAGATGATTTCTCTTTCGAAAGGAAGAAAAGCGAACCGATTTCTATACATTAAACCCAATTAGTCCTAACTTAAAGATTTTTAAAAATCTTAGATTTATCCCCTTGTCCCAGCCTCATCCATTTTCTTGCGAGAAATAAACTGTTTTTATAAATTTGATCTATAGAAACTGAAAGATTATTTAACTGCATACTCTACTAATAAGTGATTGCAAAATCTCTATTGTGTTTTTTATTAACGTTTTTTTATTGTCGTTTTTGTTCTGTTTGGGTGAATTTCCTTATTGTTGTCTATATTTCAGTGGGACTTAGTGTGTGAAAAGAATCACTTTCCTCACATTGTTTTCACACTAGCCGGTGTAGGGGGAGCTGTTGCAACCTCGATATATGGTATAATGTCAGACAGGTAAGACATTAAGATGTACAAGAATACAGAACATTAATACAATAACAGATACATTCTTCAGATAATAAAATCTGACTAATTATGTTCATAAACTTTTTATTTATAGCTTCAAAAATTATTTGCAGTTACGATCATTAATGTCTAAGAAAAGTTTAATTATTTTATCTAACGGTAAGGATATACCAATAAAATATTAAACAATGGTTCAAAATTACACTCATAGGATGCCAGTATCTTTAAGCAAGGCTTAGCATTATGTGAACACAAAGAAAAGCGTTCAGTGTCACTTATTTATAACGTAAAGAACAGTGTCTCGCGTTGTAAGTTTATGCAACGCTAAGACCCGCTTGTTATCACTCAAAACACACCTGGAAAATTGGAGTTACAGAACAATTGCGTCTTATGAAGTTTCAGGAAACTAATTAGCTATCATATTTTGAAGAATAATTTCTTGCGTTGTGAGTTTATGCAACGCTAACAAGAGCAATATTTTCCCAATTTTGGTGAAAGTCACTAGAAACTCTTTTGGAAGCGAAGAAAATTGTTACTCGTCTCAACTGTATTTTTCACACCAGAATTTTAAACGATATCAAGTTAACTAACGAATTAAAAAATGTATTATTTTGTATGTTATATGTATATTTGCGTATTATAGTATTTCATTCAGTATTTTTATAAATAAATTTCGATAAAGAGTCCCATTTCAGAATGCTGTCTTTGTATTCACAGAATAGGAAGGAAGCTGACGTTCTTCATATGTATTGCTGTGACTCTTGTATCTGGTTTGACTTCTCTTGTTGTATCCAGTTTCACTGCGTTCGCTGTGTTACGACTGATTAATGGTTCACTGTATCCAACAATTTATCAAACACCTTACATTATATGTAAGTTTAAGCTCCTTAGAAGCGAAAAGTAGCTTTATTCTGAAAGTTTAACTTGTGTTAACACAGTACATCTTTGAAACTTCTGGGAGCAATTTTGTGTTTCTCAGCCCATCAGTAGCTCAGTGGTAAGTTTGAAGATTAACAACTGCTAAAATCCGAGTTTCGATACTCGTGGTGGGCACAGCACAGAAAGCCCATTGTGTAGCTTTGTGCTTAAAAATAAATAAACCAAACAAACTCAGTCCTCCATTCATAAGTCACTTAACATTTCTCGAAACTCTTTGATTAGAAAAAAAAAGTTTTGAGTGCTTGAAAACTTTCTTCTCTGTTGATGTATAATTGAAACTGCAATTAGTATTCGTGATTACCATTCAAAATTAGAGTATCTTCTATGATGCTATTGAGTTCATTACATCTTTATGATGATTTTTTTTTCTAACAGTAGGCGATGATCTTGGTGCTTAAAATAATTATTTTTTTATTTTTTTTAGCTGGTTCATCTACATATGAATGCTGGTTAGTCATTACACCGGACTTGTTTTCAGCATAAAGTTGTGACCTGGCCCCATATATGGAAAAGAGTCCTAGAAAATGGATGTTAAACAATTTTGAGTAGAATATTATATATAGTGGTTTTTATACTATATGAACCTGCTAATTCTGAAACAAAAAAAGCTCAATACTGCGTTTCTGACCTACAGATTGTCAAAAAAAAATGGCCGCCAAATATTAAAATAAGTCTCCATGTTTTCTGATCTACTCGAGATAAAAAGTGTAATTGAAAGCATTTTTCGGCCATTTTAGGTATCCAGAAATTTAATGAAAGCAAAATGAAAAGTGAAGGACTAAGTATTAAAGGTCATATTTGAAAGGTGAGGGTGCTTTTTCCAAAATGGCTGCCAAATACAAAAAGAGATCACTACAGCATCTTATCTAACCTAGATAGTTTGGGGATCTATGGCCCTTTTTAGGCATCGGATAATCTATTGAAACCAATACGTAACAATTAATTAAAGCACTTTAATGGCACTTTTTAAAGGTCGTGTTTTATCTATAAAAAAGGTAAACAGATCGAGAAAAAACTTCAACTTCGTATCATTAACATACAAATGTAATCACAGACAATACTTTGATATTTTGAACATCCATAAATCGTGTAAAAATTAAATTAAATACTAAGATAATGCTTTAAGGTCCACTTTCATAGTGCAATGTAATGTTTTTTTCATGCGCGACTTAATGTATTATTTCATATAACATTATATTAAGTTCACAGGACAGCAACTTAGAGGAATCAGTCTACACTGAGATTCAAGAGGTTAAATTCACATCAATCAGTCTAAAAAACAACAACACAGTTTCCAATCTTTGGCTTCGATGGTACTGGATTAGTGGTTGAATATAATTTTAATCTACCGATTTTGCTTTTGACGGTGAGCAATGAACAGCGTATATATGTGACAAATGAAGGACTCATCTGATCCAAAGACATTTAGAACCCTGACTCTATGTTTCACGTCTCTCAATTTGCTCCACTTTTTAACACTTTCATGCATATTTTAACTCCCTGTGGTCTACCAATAATACGATTTTCCTGATATACGGTGTATGCAAAATTTACAATATGTAATGGCCTCTTAACAATTGGTTCCAGTGTCTCGATTTTTTTTTGAGGAACTACTCGTTTTTTGGATTTTTTTAGCTCAGAATTTCACACGATCATTACTCCTGTACGAGATCCTAGGCCAGAGGTTAATTACCTTGGGTCACTTATTATACTACTCTATTTGGCTCTTGGGTTTATTACTGAACTACTTTAACATATACTGTTAAACAAAATGTGTATCGTGAATAAATATATCATAAGAAATAACTTTAATCCTTTGAAGATGACCTCAAGTGCATAATTCTGCTTTGATGAATTCCTGGATTAGAATTGAAGATACCATAGCTTTATTCCAATTAAGAGACAATTACAATGTAAAGCACTCCTTTGGTGTTATAGGCCTTGGCAGCCACTTTGGAAAAAAATGACCTTGACCTTTTGCAGAGGACCTTGAATGCTTATTAATACGCAGCTTAATTTCGATTCCATTGCATCTTTGAATGTCTTAAATGTCAGAAAAGTATCTTTCTAGCTTCAATAGATCAAAAGTCATAGGTCTGTTTTATATTTGACGGCCATCCTGTTTTGACTGACTTTTTGGGTCAAAAATGCAAACTTGAGCGTGGACTACAGGATATTCAGAATTAGCAGGCCCAAGTTGTATAGAAAAAACAACATTGTATCGTATATTATACTCAAAAACGCCTTTACAATACTAATTTCCACTAAATTATGTTAAACTATTCACAGAAACTAAGTGAAATTAGAAATTTCAACACTTCTCCCTTCTCCTTTTAAATCTTTATTGGGATTAATAGTAATTAGTAATAAAGAACTGAAATCTGAACTTTGATAAAATAAAAATGTGAATTAGCATAAAATAAATTAACAAATATACACCTACTATATTTATATACAAGCTCATACTTTGTGTGCAAGATCTTAATAGTTATTAATTTCATTTAGGCTTAGGCTAAAAGGGTTTAGTGGAATTGTACTTAGAAATAAGATTGAATATTTCCATAAAGACGCTTGTTTATATCAATTAATCGGACTACTAGTGCTTTTAATATACAGATGTCAAGTCTGCGGATTGTCTATTATTATCACGTGTTGAAACTTTAGTTACTAAATTACGTTATTCTATTTTAGTGGTTGAACTCGTCGGGAAAGAAAAACGCACTCGTATTCTGGGTATTGGTTGTATCTCGTGGACTATAGGGATTTGTCTGCTGCCGCTTATAGCCTTTTTAACCCGCCATTGGACAATGTTTGGATTCATTACGACTTGCTCGTGTATCCCTTTCTTCTTCTATTGGAGGTATGGTTGTCATAGTGATCGAATTCTCGACTCTTACCTTTCGCTATTGTATTCTTATTAATCTGTTGTTTCCTACTTCTTCAGATAATATGCTGTCATAGCGACCACAAGTGGAAACTAATAACAAACGATATGGTATATATATATATATATATATATATTAGT